GGCCTGGGGCTGTAGGTGTGCTGCTGCATCCATAGCTTTAACCTGGGTGCAGAGGACCTGAACCCAGAGCCTTATGCGTGTGCAGCACTTTCCCCACTCATAGCAATCCTCCTGCCTCAGTTTCCAGAGTGCTAGAACTGCAAGCATGAGCCACCACTCCTGGCTCCTGCCAGCTTCTTTGTCATCTCTGCTAACTGCTTCTGGAGGCTGGCCCCTGCCCCCTCCCATCTCACGCCCCCTCTTCTCTTCCCAATAAATCTCCAATTTTTAAAGTAGATCATAAATAACATTTATTAAAGCAGCTGTGTCTGGTAACATTTGGGAAGATATGCGAGGCACAGGACCCCCATCCTATCCACACATACAAGACCAATTGGGACAGTGAGAGCTTGTCATATCTCATATAACCCCCTTAGCCCCTGGGGACAGTGTGACCTTCACAGGGCTTCCTGTGTCAGCAAACTAGAGGCTGGAGTTGGTGGTGGTGCTCCTTTGCCAGCCTCTGTCCCTGTCTCACACCAATCCAGGGTCCCTGGCACTCTTCTCTGTCTGGAAAGCTGAGCGGAAGGCCTTTAGGGCCTGCACTAGCAACCGTGGGAGACTGTGAGCCAGTGTAGAAGGCTCCAAGCCCACCAGCCCACTGAAGATCACATGCTGGTCCCCCAAGCCGGCCCTCACCCAAGCTCTGAAGAGCCCTGTCAGTGTCTTGGAGCCAAGATCGGCCAGCACCTGCAGAGGGAGGAGGTCAGGACACACCTGGGGTCACTCCCTCCTCCTGGAGCCTAGGAACCCACTTAGATCCTAGCTCCTTGCCCTTCCTCTCCCTGAAGTTTCCTTAATTTCCCAATCAAAAGGATGTCCGCACGAGCTCTTTCGCTCCTACCTCTCTACCCCCCCTTCATATCCACCTGTTATCCCAGCTCACTATCCCCCGAAAGCTGTATTCCTCTTTCCCTTCGCTGCACTGGTCTCCAGTCAGGTGATCCTTCCCAAGCCACTGCGAAGGAGCCTGGGCAGCCTGGGGACGTACCTCGTCAAAGTTCATGGCCAAGTGCTCAGCTGGGATCTGTAGGATCCAGGCATGTGCTCGCTGAATGGCCACTAACTTCTGTTGCAGAGACTCTATCCCAGGGCAGCCTACAAGAAGGGGAGATCCCCAGACTGTCATAAACAGGACAGCAGAGGATGCTGGGGATGGATATATCCTAGGGCCAGCATCCTCTGTGGGCTCCAGATGGGGAAACTGAGGCTGGCAGAGATTCCATGGTCATTCAAGGCAGAGTGCCCCTATCTGACTGACACTAACGAGGGCTCGGTTCCAGTCTCCCTAAAAAGTTATCCTTGAAGAGAGGGAGATTAGTGGTCTTCTCTGTTGTCATTTAGTCATTTAGGGCTTTCTAGCAGACAATCCATCACCTCTCTAGAAGAAGGCCGGCAGGGGGCGACATTACCCTTTGTTTCCGCGCGCCGCTCTGGCTTTGGCTTCTGGAACCACGTCCCTGCAACTCGCGATCCTGGAGGAGACTGTGGGGTTAGGGTGCACGCCTCGGCGACGAAACACGACTCCTGGACTCTAGGGCCTAGGCCTGACTGGGACACACGAGATACCTGAGTGTAACCGCTGTTCACGAACATTGTGGCCGGGAGGGTCCCGGAGCGACGGTGCAGGTGCGGGAACTCCACGTCGCAGCCCCGGCCGGGGACCGAGCAACTCCTGCGCGCCCTGCAGCAGGCCGAGCAGTGTGTGAGCCAGCGACCGCAGCTCTGAGGGTGGGACAAAGGTCTGAGCGGCCGTCCCGGGGTGAGGGGCCGTCCCTTACCCCGACCTGGGAGAACAGGACTAACCGCACCGCCGTCGGCGTTGCAGACACTGCTGGAGAGCTAGGCGCGCACAGGAGCGCTCGGATCCCGGGCACAGGCGCGCGTAGAAGGCACAGAGCCCTGCTACGTCCGGGGCTGGCTCCTCCTCCGGGGGGTCCCAAGTTAGAAGTTCTCGGCAGCTAGGCTCGCGAGTGGAGGGGGCCGCTGCAAGCAGATGACCGATCACCCTTTGTGTGTGGGTCCATTAGTCACTCACCCTCAACTCCTCCAGAAGCCAGAGCAGCCGGATGGAAACTGGCTTATCCAGAGCAGTCTGAGGGACCATTGTAGGCAGGGGGCGCTCACCACTCATCTGCTCCTGCAGCCAGTCTTTGAACACGGCCACACGGGTGTAGACCCCAGGCTTCCCAGGCTCCCCACAGCCATCCCCCCACGAGGTGACTCCAAAGAGGACCTCTCTGGGGTGCGGGCCGGGTTCGGAACAGGTTAAAGGGCCTCCGGAGTCACCCTAAGGGACCAGAGCCAACAAAGAACAATGCGTTCACCATGTCTCTGAATTATACCTGTCTCTTACCTGGTAGAGAAGGCGGATCCCCTTTCATATTATTAGCGAAGACTTAGCAGTTTGGTAGAAGCTGTCAGCCAGACCCCAAAGGGAAGAGGATTATCTTGCCAAGGGGAGCAGCGCATCTAGCGCACCCTTTCAGTCTGAGCTCATACCTGGCACGAGTCAATGCCCCCGGCCAGGTAACCAGCGCAGAGCATGGTGCTGGGACGCAACCCAGGTCCCAGTGCCTTTTGACACGTGTCTGCACTGAGCAGCGGAACACGGGCCTCCCTCACCGCCTCAGACTCGGGTCCATCTACGGGAAAGAATGTATGGGATCCGGGTTTGGAGGGCAGAAGCTTTACCTTGAGATTTCCCCCGCCCCCACTTGCCCTCTTAGATTCTTTCCAGTTTGTGAGCTGGAACATCATCCTAGCCTCCCCAAACTCCATCTCCTTCGCTTTCTTTCACGCCCCCGCTGGTTCGTCCACTACCACTACCACTTGAAGTTTACCCAGGCCCTAGCTGTCAATACCTTCGAAGAGGGCTCCCCAGCCTGCAATGGCGCATGGGGTGCCGGCAGGAGGCTCCCTAGAGCCCTGGGGTAGACATATGGGGCGTGCTGGCCCCTCTGGGCTCACTGGCGTCCACAGTTGTACCAAAGCCAGGTCATTGTGAAAGGTCTGCGGGTCAAACTGGAGAGCGGGTGACAGTACAATGTCAAGGAAGAGAGTTTGGGGTGCTGCTCCCAACTCCGAGGACACAGCGCGTGTCGTCTCACCTTAGGGTGGGGCAAGATGCGGTTCACCTGCACTTCCTCCGCTTGCTCCCCCTGGGGGCCCTCAGCTAGCGTCACAGTCCAAAGCAGCTCATTCGAGGCGCTGCCGAGCAAGCAGAAGGTTTCACGCATCAGGGACAGAGGTGCTGTAAGTTCTCTCGGAGGCCCAGCCCCTTAAGCACCCATACGGCGCAGTGAGCCTGCAAATGTGGCTATTGCGGTCCTAGGGGTAGAGAGGAATGCCTCTGAAGGGGAGGCTTCCCAGGATATTCACGGTATTCTCCCATTCTGGGGTTCCTTCTCCGCAGCCGGCATTTTGAGGTCCAGGGCTGGGAGCCGGCTTCCGCTAGGGGGCAGCAGAGACCTGCTCTGCCGTACTTTGGCCCATGGGTGCTAGACTCCTTCTGGATTGGGTAGCCCTGCTGGACAGGTGCCTGGGCTGTCGACGACGTACCCGGCGAAGCAGTGTGCAGCCGTGAGCACCCAGGACGCAGCCACCAGGACGCCGCCACATAGTGGCTGTCCCCTAAATTGTAGCCTCACGAGCCAAGGCCAAGACCCGAATGGAGCCGTGTTGCCCCCGACTATACGGCCATGAGCCCGGGTCACGTTGGCCACGCCCTGGCGCCTTTGGCCACAAGGTCCTAGAATGGCAGAAACACGCGTCATGAAGGAAAAGTTCTAGCTGTCTACATATTGAGACCCACTTCGCTCTCAGCCCTGCTCCTTGGAGCCTTTTAGTCTCACCTAGCTCGGGTGGGTCCTGGAGGAGGGAGGTTTGAAGTCTGGGGCGCCCAAGTCCTGCTGAGAAACAGTTCATGATCTTCGCTGCCGCCCTATCGCGGACCTTCTCCCTACGCTGGCCCTGAGCCTTGTCTCTCTCAACCACACCCCTCCTGGGCCACCCCTAGCACACAGGTTTGAGCAGCTGTGAATTGCGACCACAGGAGCCCACGCTGTCCCCATCTCCCTGCTATGCCTCAAGTTTGGCATACCCCTTCCACTTGGACCTTCAAAACCAGTCTGACCCCCAGGAGGTGGGCATGGACAAGAAAATGAGTCCCCTGTAATAGCGTGAGTTTGCTGGGACGTGGGTGGGGTAGCCCTATTGGTACAACCTTGGCATTCATGCAGTCTGTGCTGGATCTCCATCAACACGCGCTTTACGGCCCACTGGGCGCTCCTCTGGGCAGCCTGCAGTGCTTGAGTCCCCTGGGTGGACAAAACTGCTGGGACATGGGACACAAAGTCACATCTCCTTGGTAGACGGCCTCAGCCTAGCCTCCCTGGACCCTGAGACGGTGGGGAAGCAGGGTAGGCTCTTGGATCACCAGGCATGTAGAGATAAGGAGAGGGACCAGGGGTTGAGGCCCAGTCCCCAGGGCAAATGGTTTCCACTGCTCAATTGAATTGGGCCGGAATCTATGAGAAGTTTCTTTCTTAAAGGCTTCAGAGGAGAATCACTACCCATTGGTACCTCATAAATGTGGCTGAGGTATCCATTTGGGGACTGAATTGCCAAGGCATGCTGGCCTGGATGTCTGACTTGGCTAACTCGAAAGCCCGTTGGCAGCGCTGTGTGCCTCTGCTTCCTGGGTGAGGCCGTCTGCCCCTCCCTTTCTTCCTATATTTCAACTCCAGGTCCCTCCTCTCAGCAGGTGGGCTTAGCAGGGCCACAGGACCTCATAAGTGACAGTGACAAGTGTATCTTCGTTGCCCAGGGCCTCATTTTTCCTATGCCCCTCCCATCCTGAAGAAGTGGCTTCTTCAGATCGACCAGGCTCACCTTGCAGGGTGCCGGAGGACAGGCGCATGTACAGCGGATGCCCGCGGGCAGTCTGGGAGTCTGGGGACAGTAGCAGCAGCAGAAGCAACACAGCCAGCAGCATGGTGACCCGGGGCCGAGGCAGGAGACCCTGTCCTCTTCCTGGAATCCACCCTCTTCCTGGGCTCAGGATTTGTGTTCCTCAAACCACCCAATCCTGTTTCCTTACACCGAATTACCCATTTCTGGTGGTCTGCACCTCACCTGGACCTCACCTCCCGGGAGCCCTCAGGGAAATGGTGCTAGGGGGCTATATAGAGGACCGAAGGGGGGGTGCGTGGGAGGGCAGCCAGGCCTGGGCAAGGGAATGAGGTAGTGGGCTCGACCCTCACCTTTGAAGTTTCATCATCCCGGCTCTGAGTCCCCCACTTCTGTCAAAGCAGCCCTTGTTACTGCGGCTGCTTCAAAGAGGTCGAGCCCGGGATGAAAAGCCGACGGTTGGGCTGGGGGCCAGGCAGAGGGAGACTGGTGGGCAGGGTTTGGGAGGGGGATCCCCATCTGCTTCTGCCCCCCTGAGGAGTTCACTGCTATGTTGGGGGCAGGCCCTCTTGGAGGGAGGAGAGCAAGGGATGGGGTGGGTGTCCTGGGCATTCTTACCCCCTAAGCAAGCCACTGAACGCCCAGCCCCTTGTCCCTAATTGTTTGGCAGTGTCCCTCTTCCATGTGGCCATTTCTAAAGATGATCAAAGTATCCTAATTTGCGCCTTAATTGCTGCACTGGGGTAGCGGGGTGGGAAGAGGCGAAGGCGGGAGATGAAAGGCCTCACTGTGGCCCAGTTCAGGGACCGCAGGGCCCAGCAGCTTTTGAGCCTCTCACAGATCCCTGTCCCTGCCCGCTCAGTCTATCCAGCATTGTTTTCAGTTGCTGTGACCTTGATCTGGGAGGAGGGAGTCTTGAGACTCCATAAATAGGCAGCTGTCCTGGTATCCAGTGACCACCTGGGCTAGGGTGGGGCCTTTGGGTAAAAACAAAAAATTACTCCCCTCCTCCAGAAACCTCGGTTTAGGCTGGCAAAAGGTTAACTTTGGTTAAGTATTTAAGTACAGGAATTGGGACATACTGTGACCAGGGGCTGTGTTCTCTTCAAAAGGACTATTTATCACACTACTTATCCACTCTCCTCTCTGTTACTAACACACTGCATTCAGGAAGGTGGGAAAATTCTATTTACGGATTGCTGTGTGACTTTAAGGACACTAGGGATCAGAGTCGCCTGTGTATATCACAGGGTAAATCTTAGGTGGTCTCCAAGTTCTCAGTAGAGAGGTGTGGTTCATGCGCTCCTGCCGTAGCCTGACCAGGCCAGTGGGTAGCATGGAGCCCATCTTTCCTCCCTCTACCTCCCTGGCATAGATCAGGCTTTGAGGGCTCCAATGGCTAGAAGGGAGCAGACCCTTCTCTCACCCACACAACACAGGGCAGGGCGCGGAAACTCAGTGACTTCATGTCTGCTCCTACAAGTTGAGATGTCTCCCCTCCTCCACGCCTCTGTCCAAGGTAGTCAGGACTATCTGCACTTCTGAGTCTGGTCATCTGCCACCTGTAGGAGAGCAGGGCTTGTCTGCCCTGTCCCTGTGTTGTCACCAGCACAGGGACTGAGCCTGACATATGCCTGTGATGAGCGGTATGGGCTCCTGTCCTTGTGGAGGTGCCTTCCCCTCCGTGCTGTGTCCTCCTTTCTGTCTGTGGCCACCTCTAAGCCCTTAGCTTCTTGGGCATGGACTGGGGACGGAAGGAGGCTCTGCACTTTGCGGCCAGCTGGTCTGCTCCAGGAAAGAGAGTGGGGGGAGGCTGTCTAGAAGGGAGATGGGAAAAAAGGGAGAGGAGAAATCAAGGGTCACACAGATATCATTAAAGGTCCCCCTGTGTCCCCATCTGCACCCTGCATGTCACTTCCCACAACAAAACAAATCCGGACAGACTAGGAGGAGGTGGGGAGAGCTGTGCTCTGTGGATCTCAGTTGCATTTCTGCCCTGTAACTGACAGTGACTGCATGAGGTGCAGTGGTGCACTCCTGTAATTCCAGAAAGTGGAGGCAGGATGTCTGTGTGGCCTCAGGACTTGGAAGCTAGCCTGGGTCACAAAGCAGGACTATATCTCTTATAAAATAAAAGGCTGTCTTCCTTCATCTGTTCCTAACTCAGAGGGAGAGGAGTCTGTGTTACTGGAGGTTTTAGAATAAAAGACGGGGTTTTCATAGCCACAAGCTAGGCTCTAACACTTGTTACTAACACACCAATAAAAGAGATAGACTTATTTAACGTGGTCACTTTGGGAAAGGGAACATATAAAGGTTCCAGTGGCCTCTCCCACCAAGTCCGTCTTCTGGGGGTGCTGATATGAGATTTGGATTTAAATGGACAGTAAATTATTCATGACTGAGGGGTCGCTGTCAACATGTGGGTTTTGTCCCTTACCGATTCACCCTTGTCTCCACTTCTGGGGTCCTACACATTGTCAGAAGAACGTGAACTGTCTTCCTGGGGAACAGGGTTCTTCCTTGGCCAGCGTCAGACGAATCTTTCTCTTCCCCCAGTATTCCTGGAGAAATTTAATTGGGATTCGTGGGTAGGGTGGTATTTTGTCTTAAGATTATCATACCAAATGATATCATACCAAAGCCACAGATTGACCCTCCTAAAGACAGAGAGGAGTCCTTAGTCCCAGTACTTCTAAAAGGAGGAAGAGAGAGAGGGAAGAGGAGAGGCATCTGTGAGTTCAGTTGAGGAGGAAGGGGTGGGAGATGGGAAACACAGGTGGAAGAGGGACCAAAGTGGAGGTACAGTGTGGGGGGGTCCAGGAACTCCCCCAGAGACCAATAGTTATAGCCTCTTTGGTATGCTCTGAGGGAGGGAATTCCCCTCCCTCACTTAGGCCTCCAGGTAGGCACAGAGGGTGTTGAAATATGGAGCGGCGGCGGAGCTGCGTCCCCAACACCCCAGCCGCCTGCTAGCTTATGCCCGAAATAACAACACACAAACTGTATTCATTTAAAGAACTGCTTGGCCCATGAACTCTAGCCCTTACAGGCCAATTCTCGCACCTGGACTAGCCCATTTCTAATGATCTGTGTAAGCACCCCAAGGTGCGCTTACCGGGAAGATTCTAGCCTAAGTCCGTCGTGGGTTGCAGCTGCCTGGGAGAGCTGAGCATGGCGTCTCTGCTCCAGCAGAGCTGTCGGGTCTCTCTGGGAGCAGAGCAGAGTCTGACCTCACTTCCTCTTCCGCCCAGAATTCTATTCTGTTTCCTCCTCCCATCTATGCTCTAAGCTAAGCCAAGCAGTTTCTTTATTGCTCAGCCAATGAAATCAACAGATTGATATATGACACTCCCACATCAAGAGGGTCTCATGAATTTAATTCCAGTTTAGCATCAGGAGGCAGAGGCAGGCAGATCTGAGAGTCTGAGGCCAGCCTAGTATACATAGTGAGTTTCAGGCCAGCCAGTGATACACAGTGAGACCCTGTCTCGAAACGGAAGAGATATTGACTTCTATACTTGGTCAGGAGGGGGAGCAGAGGGGCACAGGAGGATGAACTTGCTTGAGACACCCCCAGGCTGTCCCACCCCCCACAGTAACCCCTGCATCGGCATCAGCGGACCCGATGGGCCCAGCGGTGGCCATGGACTGATATCTGCTGCAATGAAACATGAGATGGGACTGACATCAGAGAGGGATGAGGGATCACACAGCTGTGACTCAGAGCTTGGGCCTGTGTGTCTGACTGCACTCCCGTGTGAGCTTTAGTGAGTCACTTCCTGCCGGGTTCCAGATCATCCCCACAAAAGATGTGCTAAAATTATAAACCCCTTACCTCAGAATGTGACCTTGTTTGGAGCGTGCAGTAGGGAAGAGGTTTGGGTCCAATGTGACGCAGAGACAGAGGCCATGGGTTGAAGGATGTGGGATGGCACAAGCAGGAATGAAAGGGACACAGACCTGAGAATGACAAAAACTTCCAGAAAGACAGTGGCCTGCAGCGAGCCCTTGGCCTCAGGAATGTGGCTCAGGTCTGCTTTAAGCACCCAATGGGCGCTATGTGACAACAGCCCCTCACGGATGGACGGGATGGCCAGCTTCTTCTGCCTGTGTAGCTGTCCAGGAGGATGGGTCAATATCTGCCCTGTTGGGAAGATTAGCAGAGTTGACATAAATTAGGTCTTTTTGCAAGGGGCTGGCAGGGTCATCACTCTGGGTCTGGGGGCGGGCGCTAGGATGCTACTTCTCTGAATGAACGGGGAGGGGGGCAGCAAGGAAGATGTGGCAACCCAGAAAAGGAAAAGGTACATGGAGTGGTGGCAGCAAGAGGGAGCTCCCTAGGGGCTGGGACTGGCTTCACTTCAGAGGGTGGCTGAGAAGGGGTCTTCCTAGTGGCTATGAGATCCCCTCAGTTTCTTAGCTTTGTTTCGCACTCTGACCTTCTCAACTTCTCTAGGCTTTAGGAGGGACCTGGAAAGGTGGGGGTGCTGTCTGGGAGCAGGGGTGGCTGAAGCTGGCTCCACAAATTGAGAGTAGGGTAATATTGGAATTACCTGAAGGGCTCTGTGACTGGGCAGGCCCTTCCTCTCCCTTCCCTTCCCTCCTTACCCAGGCTGGCCTCAAACTTAAAGCAATCCTCCTGACTCAACCAGCCACTGGACATATCCTGACAACCACCCACATCACTACAGGCCACTGACTAACCTGTGATTGAAAGAGCAGACCATTGTACAGCCAGAATTCTACCCCTTCTCCCCTCCCTCCTTCCCTCCCTCCCTCCCTCCCTCCCTCCCTCCCTCCCTCTCTCCCTCCCTCCCTCCCTCCTTCCTTCCCTCCCTCCCTCTGTTCCTATTTTGGTACTAGGGAATGAACCTAAGCCCATACTAGGCAAGGACTTTTCAACCAACCTACCTCTCCAGCCTTCTTTGTAATTAGTTATTGGTTGTTTCGCTCTCTTTTTTCTTTCTTTCTGTTTGAGACAGGGTCTCAAGTAGCCTAGGCTGGCCTGAAACTACTGTGGACTAAGGCTCCTCATCTCTATGTCTAACAGCTGAGATTACAGGTATCTGCGCCGTACCTGCTACTTGTTTTTTACTTTTTGCTTTTGAGATGGTCTCTCTAACTCGCCTAGGCTTACTTTGAACCCACTCTGTAGCCCAGAATGGCCTGGAATTTACAATCCTCTTGCCTTAGACTCCCCAGTAGCCAGGATTACAGGCCTGAATAATGTTTTCCTCTTCGTCGTCCTCCCGTTCTTTCCCCCCTCTTTCCCCTCTTCTCCTGTCTTTTGTCTTTCATTTTTTCTTTTCTTTTCTGCCATTTCTCATCACACATTTCTTTCCCATTTCCAAAAATGTGGTTTAAGCTGTGTGGCTCTGATTTTTGGTAACTGAACGCCTTCCACTCTGGTAAGGGATTCACATTATCCCTTGTGATGGTTTAATGCTGTCAACTTGACAAGATCTAGGGTCATCTTGGAGACAAGTCGATGAGTATGTCCTTGAGGGTATTTTCAGGAAGGATTGACTTGGGTGGGAAGGCTCACCCTAACTGTAGGGGGCAGCACTCCAGGACTGTAGTCATGGACTTCAGAAAAGGAGAAAGATGAGTGCGACAATCCTCTCCTCCCATGTTGGACTGTGCCCTTGACCTGGAAGCCGGAACAAACACTCTTTGAGTTGTCTTTTTTTAAAAGGCACTTTGTCTAAGAGGAAAGTAACAAATAAATCCCAGCTCCTGTGTAATACGTTTTTCTTTGATCAGGATTTCAGACATTTTTGTTAACATTAGATGATCTTTTTATTTGTTTTGATTTCCTGAGACACAGGCGTACACAGTAGCCCAGGCTGTCCTAGAACTCAATGTGAAGTTCAGGCTCACTCCAGACACAAGGCAATCCTCCTGCCTCAGTCTTTGTGTGCTGGGATTACAAGGGTGAGCCAGTATGTCTGGCTTAGACGGCCTTTTTAGAGAGAAACATCTCTGGGGCCAGGGGTGTTTGCCAGGTATGTACAAGGTCCTGGGTTTGATTCCCAGTAAAGCATAAATTGGGTGCGGGGCAGTCCTCCCAGCACTCAGGAGGTGGAGGCAGGAGGATTAGTTCAAGGTCATCTTGTGCACATTGGGAGTTTGAGGCCTGGCGAATCTGGGATATGCGAGACCCATTTGTGTCTGTGAGTTTGGGGAGCCAGTAAAGAGGCACACTGGAGTCACGTGGCTCTCTTTAGGGTCACTTCTGTCCATGCTTCCCACACAACTTAAAATTAAATTTCATCAAGTCTATTAAAAGCCTTCAACAATATTAATTTCTGTCAGTTTGTCTCTAAACTTCTATCTGCATCAGTGCAAAATGAGATTTCTGGAAATAATGTCTGTTCATTAATATTAATAATATTTAATTTTTCTTTCTTTTTCTTTTTTTTTTTTTAAAGACAAAAGATGCCACTGTGCGGCTCAGGCTGGCCTCCTACTCAAGGTCCTCTACCTCAGCCTCCTGGTGCTGGGGAGACTGTAAGAATGCACCACTATGTCACCCAGCAACAAGCATCTTTGCTTCTGAAGCTGAGACTTTCTTACATTACTTTTAAACTTGCTTCCTTGTGTTTCCCTGCATTGCGGGCGGGGGCGGGGGGGGGATGTCTTTAAAACCAGCAGGTAGCGTGTGGTGTATGACAGTATAGAGTTTAGAGTTTTTTTTTTTAAAGTATGAGAAGTAGGAACCTTCACAATGATACGTGTTTGTTGATGGAGTACTTAACCCCCAAATGTTTATTACTGTCTGACCAAACAAAGGCAATTTCATGAAGTTCAAGGTATTATAGTGTGTCAAGCCTTCACCATATCTGTCTAAGGACATGTCTCTCTAGAGGAGGAGATATCAACTCTGATTGTGCCTGTTCCCTAAGACCTCTCTCCTGACCTCAATGCAGGCCAGCCTCTGGGCCCACTGCACCTCCTCATTACCACTCTGAGGGCTTTCCTGCGGCACCCACGCCTCAGGAAAGGCGGGAGGTCCTAGAAATGAGAGGATCGGTGTCCAGACTTTGCCTCCTCTTCAGTGATGGAGCTGAAAGAGGGAAAGTGGGGGGAAGAATGGACAGAAAGAGTTAGGGGAGCTGCAGTGGCAGCTGGGGCCAGGGTCTGCAAATGGCAGGCAAGATGCTGAGGAGCTAGGGTCCTGGAGGGAAGGCAGGGAGAACCCAGAGCTGCCAAATTTTCTTCAGTGCCTCTTGGGCATCTTGTACCCCTGATTTCCGAGTCGTGGAGAAACAAAGGGAGAGTATGAGAGCGTGCAGCCTGGGACTCTTCTGGGGTGCCCCAGACATGTTCTCCTTTTGTTTCCAGCTTCCGGGCATGGGGTTGACTCTCTATTAAAGGGCCCCTCTGCAGGCCACACCCAGTCCTTGTTTACAGCATCAGGCTCTGCCCCTAAGAACCAAGAGAGGGGGATATCTAGGGTATGGACCAGAGGGGAAGCCAGGAAGGTGTGGGATGGTAAACAAAGCCAATAAATCCCTGGAGGCAATTACAGAGAGCAAGGCAGAAAAGGGTGCCCCTGCTCCGCCTGCTGCAGCCACTATTCTCTCTCTCTCTCTCTCTCTCTCTCTCTCTCTCTCTCTCACACACACACACACACACACACACACACGCATGCACGCACACAGAAGCCAACCCATTTGCAGGGTAATGGCTTAGCGACTGCAGGAATCATCTGCAGCATTAGAGGCAGCCGTGATAGGTGGGGAAACCTGTGTGTGGGGGGGTGCTGCTACTTTGCTTTGATTTTGGGGATCCCAAAGGAAGAGATAGATGATTGCAGATTAGGATCTGGCACTGAAGGAACAGAGTCTTGGAGGAACTACAGAGGGCATGGTGAGGGCGAGGGCCAGCCTCTGCTGCTGTCCTCTCTCTCTGTCCCAGGCCTGTAAATGATACCGATTACTGGGAGGACTGGCTCAGGGCTTGTGGTAACCTAGCCCTCCACTTGACCGCGTGCCCTCTTCCTATCCAGCCTCAGGTTGCCATAACCAGCAACCAGAAAGGGACAGAGGAAGATGAAGGGGCACAAGAGGACCCAGGAAGGTGTCTGGGGCTCTGGGTGTGGTGGTGGTTGTGATAGGGGCATGGCAGGCTTTGAATTAGTTGATTATTTCCTCCAGAATGGGCCTGGCACTATGGGGAAGTCACAGTTTAGAGGAGGAGCTGGATTAGAAAACTAGACCCCCCCAAATCTGGTTCTTGAGGTGTCAAGCTGAGGATTGAGATGGCAGTCCCTTCCTACCCCCCCCCAAATCTTCAGCTGGGAAAAGATGGTGGGGCAAAATGCTGGGGATCAGGTCAGTGTGTGTGTGGGTTGGTCCCCGGG